GACGGAACAGCTTGCGATAGGGGACGCAAGTAGATTCGGTAAAGGTCGCAGGTAAACTCGGGCTGGGAATGCATAGATGATTTTGGGGCAGAATGCAGGCTACCTAGATCGTGCAGTTTTTCAGGGCGTTAATGAGGTTTTTCTAAGTCCCGACCCAGCCATTTTGGGAGGAAAAATACTTGAACCTGCAGCCGGATATTTTGAGGATGCAAGTGGGCAACTTGCACAACTTGTCCACTTGTGTGCCACTTGCAAGCTAAGCGCGAGTTGTATGCAAGCTAAGCGCGAGTTGGCAAGGATAAATATCAACGGTGCAAGCTAGGCGCGAGTTGGCAACAACTTGCAAGGCAAGTTGTAATACCATCCACTTGAAGACAACTAAGAATGAGTTGGCGACAACCAAGCACGAGTTGTAAAGTGGAAGGTTAAGGAGGTTTAAGTTTTCTATAAATAGAGAGGTAGTCTCATTTGTAAATGGTATGGAGTAGAGGTTAGAAAGTGTAGAGAATATAAGAGTGAAGAGAGTTTATTCATTAGAGAGATTGTAAAGTTTTTCCTTTCATTTATATAAAGAAAGTTTCCCCAATCCTTACTTGTTTTCCATATATTACTTACTTCAAAATTCTCTTCTCAACGTGGGTATAATTTAGCCTCATTGGTTAAATTATTTGTGGGCGTGGAAAGGCTGACTTAACGTTTTCTCGTGAGGTGCGGGAATTGTAGAACGTTAAGGCCGCACGGTTCTAGTTTGTTCGGGTGTAATGAAACTAGGCCCGTGACAAGCTGCCCAATGAATATGTGAAGGACTGGTTAAAAAACCTTTTAGAGAAATTGAAGATTAGAATGGAACTACCAATGAAACTCTATTGTGATAACAAAACAGCCATCAGCATTTCACTCAACCCAACCCAACATGATCGAAAAAAGCATATGAAAATCAGTAGACATTTCATCAAAGAAAATGTTGAAGATGAAGTCATTTGTATGGTCTATGTTCCTACTAAAGGACAAACGGTAGACATCTTTACCAAATGGTTGTCTCCACAAAACTTTCACGAATTCATCTGCAAGTTGGATAGAATCAATATCTACAGCCCACCTTGAGGGGGAATGTAGGAATTCGTAAATTATGGAAAGATATCAAAATCTTTCCTTGGTCTATGTATATTGGTAGATTGTATTATATTTGATAGGTAGTTATTATTCTCCAAAATTAGGATAATGCTTTTCCTTTTTTATTTTCATTATTGTACTATATAAGGATGTAAGTTGGAGGTTAATGATTAAGAAATACAGAAAATAATTCTGACTTCCATCTTCATAAGGGTTTAACAAAGCGGGTTTAGTTTTATTACCTACATTCATCTATTGACAAAAGAAGGGCGTAATCATAACAATGAATAAGTATTAACCAACATGGATTGATCAACTTTTTCTACTGTGATAAACTTCAAAAGAGAATAAAGATAAATGAATTCAACAATGTACTCCACAAACCTGGAGGAACTGGAATACGCAGAGATGGAGCGGCAAGTCCGTCACGCAGTTGTGATGACAGAACACCCATTGAATCAGCATTTCCTCCACGTTTTGCACTGTATCGACTTTTCTTGTGAAACTCCAATAACGAATCTTCGCTCTCATCTGCATATATCACAACATCACCACCGTGTCCGCCCATAGGAAGAACAAGTGAGCCATCAAAATCCCTTTTATATGAACTCTTTTCCTTTATCTTGTTTTTACCAAATTTTCCTCGTGAGTTAGAAGCAGCCCTCTGAGTAGGCATACTAAGGATGGCTCCATGACCTCCATCTCCAGCACGGACAGTGATCACCACCTGATCAAAATATTTATGGGGTTCCTTTACTAATGTCTCGGGGGTTGGAGACGGAGGATTTTTCACCTTAGAAAGTGCACTCTTCAGCGAGTAGCTTTGAAAATTTCTATGAGTGTCCCCTTTCCTATGAAAACTGTGAGAAGAAATGCAATATAAGCAATAACTATGAAATTCAAGTTGTAAACACATATAGAGAATGTGGACAATTACCATAAAGTGATCCAATGTTAGATATCAAATGCCAAGATTGGCATCATATAATTTTTCTTTTCACATTATGAAGTCAAAGTATACAACACATGCGAAACAAGAACAAAAAAAGGAATAATCTAGTAATATTTTTAAGCCAAACTCACTGTCTGAGTGAGTTAATTAATAAAAGAAAACGGAGAAACTAATATCATAGTGCAATTTTTATTATTTCTTTTTCTTGGAGAAGTTGAAGTTCTAACGAGATCGTAAAAAAACAAATAACAAAAATTACATTACTGTTACGAGAAAGTGAGAATAAGTCGGAAATTGAAATGAAGAAACAAACAAATTGTCAGAAATTTCAATTGCGTGTGATTATGTGTAAAATGAGGCCCAAACGAGATGAAAATACCAGCATATATCAGCGAATTGAGGTTGTTATAAAAAAATAAAATAAAATAAAAAGACCAGATTATAACTAGAAAAATCTTTAACCCAATTGAAAAACGAACAATTTCATATTCAAGTATGCAACTATGCACTTTTTCAAATATTTTGCTAGTGATATTGGGGCGCAAGGTAAGAGAAGAAAAATTTTAACGGGAACAAGAAATCGAGGAATTATTGGGTTTTATTTATTATCGAACATATATACCTATTTAGAAGAGTAGGTTGCGAAGTGAAAGCAGAGAGAGTAGCCCACGACTCTTTCTCAAAATTGGGGTTGATAAATGATAACGAACAATGTGGACGAGCCAAACATAGCATTTTTCTTCTCTTGCGGTGCTTAGGTATGTGTGTGGTGGCTGTGGCGGTGGCGGTGGCGGTGCTACTCAGCAGTGGCACTCCGGTAAACTTTATATGGGTGGAGCAATTTCGAACGAGACAGCTAGAATCCGATAACCTGCACAAAGCCGCTAATATTATATGGTGAGTTTGGCTAAGCTTTAAACGTTTATTAATGAAAGACAGAAAATTAAGTTACCAATTTAGCCCTGTTTGATCCTCTTTCTTTTAAAAAAATACATTCTTAAATAGTATTTTAACATCATTTCAATCACACATTTTTCAATAAAATAATATTACACGTGAATTCAAAAAATTTCCTTATTTTTTACTACACATTTCTCATCAATACACTATCCAAAAATTCATTCTTCTCAAAAAAATGGGGCTCAAACAAGGGTTTAAATGGAAAATAGATGTTTTTTCATAAAAAGAAATTTTTTTATTTAAAAGAAAGAAAAAACCAAATTATTCCAATAAATTCAGAACAAACTTTTAAAATTTACTTCTATTTTAAAATTTTTAGATACAAAACAATTCCCTATTTGATGGCCATTATTTAACAAAAATAAAATTTTGAATAGTAAATTTTTGGAGAATGTGTGGTTAAAAAATATAGGAAAATATTTTTTATTTATGTATAGAATATTTTATTCGGTAAATGTGTGAGTAGAAAAAAATTTTGGATAATGATTATCAAATAAGAGTTTAATGTCTCCATACTTATTTGGATTATTTTTTGTTTTTCATTTTTTTGCATCCTCAATCATTTACTCGAGAATTATTATTTTTATTTGTTTCTAACCGATAATCTCAATTGGGTCAAGATTTTTTTATCAGGAGTTGATGATTAATTTTTTTTATTTTTGATAGATAAAAAAAATTAGTCACAAATTAACATGCAAGTATGTTATGATAAAACATGTTGTTTGTAAAAGCGAATCATTCATTAATTTGTTGAAATTTTTCAATATAGATTCGAATTTTTCCTCTCTTGCTCATTTATTATACATCTTTGAGATGTGATGAATTCGAGAGAAGATAAAAGGTGTTCATACACGTAAGAAGGCCATGTCATGAAGTAAAATTGAATTGATAAAATCATCCATTGAACTAGAGTTTTGAGTATTTCGTGACTCACTTCTATTTCTTCCATGTCAATTATTGTTAAGTCGCTCTTGTAATGAACTCGAGTATATTACTTTTAAGTATTTTTACTTTTTTTAAAAATTAACCAAACATGTTCTAAATATTTACACTCCCTAAAACTTAGAGTGCCTATGATATTTGCATTAGACTGCATGTGGATGAATACTTCTTATCAAGTACAACTTTTATCCTACCTAATTCAAAAGGGTTACCAAATGCTACATTTCTAAAGATCCTTTTCAAATTGAGGTGTTGTTCTACCTCTAACTTCAAACTCAACTTGGGCAAATGTTACCTTCCTGAAATCCCTTTGATTTCATGATATATATTGCTTGTTGATAATTGCATAGTTTGTACTTATTTAAGGTTTCTTTACTTAATTATTTACGTCTAAATGAGCACTATCTACTTAATTTTGTGTAGAATATGTTAATTGTAGAGAAACCTCAAATTTAGATGCTCTTGGAAGAAATTGGTGTGAAATAGGTGAAATTGGAGCATAATTGAAGTTGATTTGAGACGCTTGAAGATCAATCGAATTACAATTGCTCAATTAGAAGTTTATTGGAGTAATCAAACGAAATTCACAAGTTTCAAGGGTTAAATTCAACTTTTGGAAAGTTTGAGAACTTAATTGAAAACTTCTAAACTTTCATCCAATAGATTATTAGTTATTTTGGAATGTGAAGGACTAAATTGTGAAT